ACATCAAGTTGGTGTACTATCCAATTACGTTTGGCTGCAACGGTTAGCAGGCATCGTACTGTGACAAGCTTGGCAACCGGAGCAAAAGTTTCATGAAAATCAATACCCTCAACTTGAGTATAACCCTTAGCAACCAATCTAGCTTTGTAACGTTCTACGTCACCATTGGGTTTATATTTAATTTTATAAACCCATTTAGAATCAACAATCCTTTTTCCAGGTGGCAATGAGGCTAGAACCCATGTGTTATTTTCTTCCAATGCATTAATCTCCTTTTGCATGGCATCTCTCCATAAAGGATCTCGTACAGCCTGTGAAAAATATTTAGGCTCATCACGGGAGGTGATGGCCGCCAAATATGCTTTGTGGGTATTAGAAAATTTCTCATAATTGATGTATTTTGAAATAGGATATACCTTTGAGTTCACTGAATTGACGGTAGGCCGTGAATGATCAAGTGATGGTGGCAAGTCAGTCTCAAAATTATCAAGATGCTTTGGAAGTTTGCGGCTACGATCACTCCTTTTCGGCTGAAAGCTCGGCGGAATAGACGGAGCCAGATCTGATTGAAAAATGGGGCCTTCTGAAATTGTCTCTTCTTGTGTAGAAATATCAAAATGGTTTGTCAACTGTTCAGGAGTATTAGTGGGTAACACATCAACTTGCAGTTGGTTCATTTTCTCGGAAATAGGGTCTTCGCATGTGGAGATTTTAGGAGGGACCTGCAGCTGATCCATTATCTCATGCATGGAGCCCTCACGTGAAGATGTTGCAGGAGATCCTTGTAGTGGCTGTCCATAGAAGTGCTGATCTATTATTTTGGGTGTGGGACCGTCACATGCAGAAGTCATGGGAGAACCATGTAACTGTCCAGAGGGCTGCGGATGGTGAGGTGTACAATATTCATATCCTAACGTGTGGCGGTAAGCTTTCTCAACAATTACCGGAAAATCCAACTCCCGATCAAAACCAATTTTAAATGGGAATTTATCCTCATAAAATGTTACATCTCTGGAGCTATAGACACTATGACTTTTCAAATCAAAAACTCTATAAGCCTTTTGACCATACGGGTAGCCAATAAATATGGAAGGACTCTCCCTTTCACTGAATTTGTCTTTTCTTTTATTATCGTGGGCGTATACTAAACACCCAAATACGCGTAAATGGTCATAGCTAGGCACTTTTCCGAATAACATCTCAAAAGGACTTTTGTTGAGAATGACTGGTGAGGGGAGTCTATTAATAATATAAACAGCAGTTAAAATGCATTCTCCCCAAAAATCAATAGGTAATCCAGACTGGAAACGCAGTGCCCTTGCAATTTCCAAAATGTGACGGTGCTTATGCTCAACAACCCCATTTTGTTGTGGTGTGTCTGTACATGAAGTCTCTAATAATATCCCAGTGCGTACATAATAATCAAATAAATTCTTAGTTTGAAATTCCACACCATTATCAGCTCGTATTCGTTTGACCTTTTTCTAAAATTGAGTATGGACCATGTTGCAAAATTGGATCAAAAATTGGGAGACTTCAGATTTATTTTTCATTAAATAAACCCACACACCTCTGCTAAAATCATCAACAATAGATAGAAAATACCGTGCACCGGAGATGGAGTCACATCTATAGCCTCCCCAAATATCACAATGTATCAATTCAAAACAACGAGTTGTTTTAATGGCACTTGTAGGAAAGGGTAGTCTAGTTTGCTTAGCTCGGGTGCATGGATCACAAAAATCACTGCTACGTCGAAATCCCTTGAGAGAACTGATGTGATGCAATTTTCCATCAGATGCATGCCCCAAGCGTTGATGCCATAAATCAGAGGTGACAGAGACTGACATTGCCACACTTTCACTTCTCGGAGACTCCAAGTAATAGAGACCATCACGAAATTTACCTACGCCAATCAGCTTCCTCGAGGGTACATCCTGTAAAATACAAAAATCTGAAAAAAATGTTAGGGTACAGTTTAGATCACTCGTTAAGCGACTAACTGAAAGTAGGTTGCATTGAAATTTTGGAATATAGAGAACACGTTCAAGGCGTAGCCCATTGGGAAGGTACAAACTTCCGATAGCATGAACCAGAATTGATTCACCGTTAGGAATTTTGACGGATGATTCAAACTTGTGACTAGTAATATTAAAAAGATCAATATCACTGCAAGTGATATGTTCACTAGCTCCAGAATCAATTATCCAAGGACGAGCATGTGGCAACATGCATGCCATATTTACTTGGGCATTGGAAGGAAGACAACACACAGCTTCATGGCCGGTTTTAATGGTGACTTCACCAATGGCCATAGCTTAGAAAGAAAAAATAGGAGAAAGAAAATTCAGAAATTTTGTTTCATTGGAGGAATTCTCCTTAATACAAATATGCAGGATGTTCGGACTTATATAATACATATGATGTTGATCTATAATAGGAGAGAGAAGAGCATGTGCTATGTCCCATGCAAGGGACCTTCCTATGTAATGAGTAATGGGCAATGTAATAGATTAATATTACATCATGTGTCAACTATTGAAATGAAAGTAGTACATAGAAATAATATAATAAACTTCAATAGAGGACGCTGATGATGGAGGCTTAAGCAGAAGATGTCGGTGACGGTGAGCGCAGAGACTGAAGTTTATCTTCTTCAACAACGAAACTAGCGACTGGAGCGGCATAGATGGTGAGCGGGTGACAGTCTTCAAATCCGAGCTGATGTTCTTCTATTGTGTCTCTTCTTCGGTTGTACTGGATGGATGATGGAGTTGTGACAGAGACTCTTTATCTTCAACACTGAGAGAGGCAGAGAGCTGCTATGGAGAACTCTGAAATTATGATTTATGAAAAATATTGATGATCTGCAGAAGAACCAAAAGATCTCCAAAATTGGGAAATTGGAGAGCTTCTCATTTTTAACACTAGAAAACCCGAAAAAAATGTGGAAAAGCAACTTGAACGCTTATTGTTTTTCGTTTTAAAAATTTTGTGCAACTAATGAACTCCTTGTCTGCAACCGTGGTGTATATCCACCGTTTCCATCGTTAGGAAGCTCCAGAATGTACTCCAGGAGAATATGAATTGTTATCTTTGAAAATGGGCCACCTACTTGCAGGATTTTTCTGAGAAGATGAAAAATGAATTATTGATAAAGCTTGGGAAGAGCAGGAAACAACAGATGGAAGACGGAAGAAGAAAATGAAAAAAAAAAGAAAAAGAAATGCCACATAGGCCTAAGTCACCTGCAAAACTGGATGGTTAATATACTTGATTGAGTGTTTTTTGTAGAATCAATTGACGAATTTGATATAGTATGAAACCAACTTTTTATACTATACACGTATAGAAGGCAAACACTAGGCCTCGTCCACAGCGCAAGAAGTAGTTGGCTAGACAGGTTGAGCTCACCCTACCATACTTGTCACAGCGTCGTCTAGGCGTTGCCTATTCGTTAGGCGTCCTGGCACTAGGGAGTGGTCGCCGGGTTCCCTTGCCTCGCCAGAAGAAGAGAAGGTGACCATGGCGTCGTCGTCCAGCCGTGCTTTGGTGATAAGGTGGCGCTGATTTTGGCCAGTCTAACCACGGTCGCCGATTTAAGGCTTTAGGGATTTAATAAAAAACAAAGTAAAGTAATTTTAGAAGACCGTCAAGACGCAGAGTCTAGAGACCCAGACTCGTAGGAAGAAGACAAAAGCATAGAACTCCCAAAGTTGCACTCCCTTGCGTAGACGACCAGTACGTTACCAGGTCCCCATCTATTATTGTCTAGCCGATATATTTGTATGTATATGTAGAGTATATATATACAAAGTACACACACATAAAGTTAGAGGCTGAGAGCATAGGCTGCTGGGTACTATTATTGTATGTTACTTGTAGAGATTAATATACTATTAGACTTTATGTAGTTTAACTTTTTGTAAAGTACATTCATACTTACTCCCTCCGTTTCATAATCTTTGACACAGATTGACTTGTCAAGAATTAAGGAAAACATGTTACTGAGGGGTAAATTTTACTGCAGAGTACACTGTTTGGCACTGTTTGAACCTCGTTTGGCACTTTTTGAACACTGTTTGACACTGTTTGACACTGTTTTTCACTGTTTTGTTAAAGATTTGTTTACCAAATAAGGAAATAAGGAAGTGTGTCATTGATTGTGAAACAGCCAAAAAAGAAAAGTGTGTCAAAGATTGTGAAACGGAGGGAGTATTATACAATTATTATACAATATAGCATTCAGTAATATACAATTTAATTAGTAATATATCATATATAATGTATAATAAATTACAAATTAAATATAGTTCAATAAAATCTTATATATCTTATATAAATATAATATAATTATATACGCATATAATTGTGTATATAATTATACTAGTCGCCAAATTGTCGCCTCGGCGGGCACCTTGTCGCCTAGGCAATATGGCGGTTGGCTGGCGCCGCGACTCGCCTTACCGCCATGACAAATATGGACCCTACCCCATCAAGCACAGCACTTTAATCCCAAGTAACTGTGTTGGTGCCTCTGACATTAAACTTTAGAGTATTAATCGATTAATTAAATGTCTATAGGATAGTTAATACTATAAAAGCCTGCATGCTGATTATGGATAAATAAATAAATTACTTCTTCCTTGCCAAATTGATTTGCAATTTGCGGGTTGTAAAGTTGGCAAATCATAAAATCAAATTTTCGCTACTCATATTTAAATCAGTTTCATTAATTAAAACTTACATATTCAGAAATTACATTGGAAGTTTTTATAGATTCGCAAAAATCAAATTAGAGTATAACAACATTTCAAGTCTTTATCCCAAAAGAGTTTATGGTCGACTTACATGAATCGACATGAGATATCAGAGTTAAAAACATTACATAGAGAAAGAGGAAAACAAATATTATAAGAACCTTCCATGCTTAGACTCTCCCTCCACTTCTCGCTTTTTGACGTCATACTGTCATCTGAGCAGTAACTTCCATGCTGCAGCTTGTCGATGTATACCGCCTGCTTGAAGACGAAATTGATTTGCCTTCGCTGGCAAGGGAACTTGTTGGAGGTGAGGAGCTATTTTCTATTGTAGTTTATGTGCTCCATATGCGTTTTAGGATGAGTGAATTTCATCTTGGTGGCAAGTAGGCTCTTATATTTCTGAGATGTGACTATGGTGCAGATCTCCCATCTATTGCTCGAGATGTCGTGCTCTCGTGGAGCACCTTCATCTTATCAGACAGTTGAAAGGTAATTTTTCTTACTTGTTCAAAGGCGCATCCCATGCTCCCATCAAATTATTTTTTAAATACACGTGTCTGTTGCTGCTGCTTAATAACATGTATGATGTGCAGTAATATTCATTCAATACATCGATTTGGTGAGAGTTAAGTAATCGAGTGACATCATTTACAGACGGAATGCTTTAATTGTAAATGTGGCACACTTAAACTGAGATTGTTCTTGATGCAGCGGAATCTTGTACTATCATCTGTTTGACATAATGAATTGGCTTACATTCATCTTCTTCACTAGCATTAGGGCTGCATTACCAGCGACTGTCTTAAGCTAATGCGGCGGTTTAAAGGAGAAATGGGAGGGTTTGATGGATGTCTGGAATGCTACTGGATAAAATTTCCCCTCATTGGCTATATTTGTACCTATAGAAATTGTTATGGCCTGTAAATACAAAAGAACAGCTGGCATAATTATGAGTTCAGAGTCAATTTCAATCATTTTTACATTCACATCATGGTATGCTCATTTGATACCTCTGTAGACTGTAGTGCTCATTTTCTAATGACCTATCAATGGGCATTTCTTTCAGACATTCTTTTATGTATAACATAATTTCATATAAATAAATGTATCACAAACCAACATAGTGTAGACAGGATAGTTTACTCGATCATTAGTAGTTTTGACTTTTGACCAAGTCATTAAACAATCTTGAGTTTGGTAAAAAATCGTGAGGAAAAATTTATTATTCACGGAAATATTTTTCAATCTTAACTAGTCAGTAGTCACACCTAGGCTTTACCGTTGCACTTTTCTTAATTAATAAATCATGGTATATGTTTCCCGGTAAAAAAATACTCGTAATTATTGTTTGTTTATTTGAAATCTTTATTGTGCTCATTTTTTATAAAGATGTACTCATTGTTATTTTTAAACATTATATACATTCAAGTACTTATTATAATTCACACGTAATATATTTATCACATACCAATTTGATATATTTTGCTATTATAATTCACATGTAATATATTATGTATTTATCAAATACCAATTTAATACCTCATTTGTTCTTTAATTCTTACAAGTTACAACATTGTGATTTTTGCACTATTTACAAACCTTACATAGACCACAATTTTCTACTAATATATATAATCACATTATTACGTATAAAATGTTATTAATTCTTATCAATGTGATTTTTCAAAAAATCAACATTTTATAATGTTTATTAATACATAATTAAATATAATTACAGTCAAAGTCGTGTGTTGGCAAACGTGAAAATCAAACTGTTGCAAGAATTAAAGAACGAATGATAGTATATTTTACTCTGTTTGCTCAAATTATTAATAGTTTTAGTTGTGAGATAATAAAAGAAATTATATTTTTTGTTGGGAAAATTGTTATTAACCCTTTGAGGTGATTGTAATTACTAGATCAACCTCATATTTTGAAAAGTTAATTAATTAGTCCTTGAGTTTTGGTTATTGTTATTGTTGATCCATCATTCATATTTCCGTCACATCATTTTTTTTGAAGAGGAAGAATTTAATTGGCATTAATCAAATCAAAGGCTAGAACATCAACTAGGGATGGACTTGGGCCGACCGGATACCTTTTTTTTTTTGCCCGGACCGTGTCGGTTCAGTTTTTGGAGACACGGAGCCTAATCCGAAAAAATCTGGTTCGGGTAAAAAGCACCCGGCCCGGACACGAGCCGTGGGTCGGGCTGGTTCATAAACGTACCGGGTTGGGTTGGTTTTATGGTTGGACTCGGGTCGGGCCACCCGGCCCGTGGACCGGCCCGGCCCGTAGACCGGCCCGACCCGTTACTGTGCGGGACCGGGACCGGCCCGGTTCTCGGGTCCGGGTCCGGGTCGGGCCTAGGCCCGGGGGGTAGGGCGGGTCCGGGCTCGGGTCTCAAATTAGGTGAACCGGCCCGACCGGGTCCGGGCCCGGCCGGGTCGGGTCCGGACCCGGGCCAAATTGATTTTTTTTTATTTTTTTTTTCATTTTTGGGGTTCCACCCGGGTTGGGTTTGATGGGTAGGATGGGTTTGGCGGGGGGGTTTGGGAGGGTGGGGGTGGGGGGGGGGGTAAGGAAAGCAAAAAAAATAATCCAAACCAGAGGCCCGGACCCGAGTCCACCCCTAGGTTGTTTCGGTCCGATTGACCCGGCCCGAGTTCATCTCTAATGTCAACAATACACGAAGGGGATTATCCAACTAAATTTGACAATCAGACAGAACAAGCTACTCTAGCCAACTTAGGCATGGACTCGGTTCGGATCGGGTTTGACTGGGCTTTTTTTCGGAATCTTGAGGCTCGGAACCGGCCCGGGTAGCTACCGGGTCTGGGTCGGGCCTTAACTGGTTCGGGCTGGGCCGGTTTGGCCCGTTTCCTTTTTTATTTTCTAATTACTTCCTACCCCTACCCCCACTCCCACCCCCCACACCCCAAACTAGGGGTGGACATAACAGTTCGGTTTGACCGAACTGAACCGTACCAAACCGAATTAAACCAAACCGAAACTGAACCATTTGTAATTTGGTTTGAGTTTGGTAGTTGTTGAAGGTAAGTCTCGTAGATCCGAAAGCCCAACACGAACTTTGGATATATTAGGAATCCTACAGAATCAAAGTGTATAACCAAATATAAAATATGAACTCACTAATACTCAAAAGCCCACTCGTATTAATTAACCAGTCTGATTACAAGAAAATTCCCGATCGGTAGGTCGGAATAATGCTTTAATACAAGAAATAAGAGCAATAATGCTATTCTAGAGCTTGAGTATTGAAATGCTAACCCTTACAATGATTTTAAACCTTCTATTTATACTAATGGAGAGCATGGGCTGCTCTATGCTGATTGACTGTTGTTCCACCGACTTGGTCACCCATGTTTCCACTTGCTGATGTCACAATCTGGCATTGATTGCACCTAGCCACTTGCCGGTTGTCCGTTGCTCGAACGGGATGTTGGACCATGCTGAAGACGCTGTCAAATCGGCCCAAGTATGATATATAGTCCGAACTCCGCTCGGTATATCTTCTTACTGGGCCAACCCTTACTTGAGCTGAATCTCGTTCGGCATGAATTCTTCACTGGATCTACTCATCATAGAGTGATGGGTCGTTGTTTGGGCCGGGTATCTTGGGCTGTTGGAGATATTTAATTGTGAATCAAGTTGGTCATAGATTAGCTTTATATTTAATCCTTGTATTTAATTAGTGCATGAAATAGATAGAAATCAGGCCAAGTGTTAGGCCCATTTAAACAGGCTAAAAGCCTGGTACGCCTAACCTAAACCTCGCCTATAAAAAGGGAGCCGAGGTTTAGGAAAAGGCTGAACGTCGTACTTATTATTCATAGCCTTACGCATATCATTCTACTGTACGTTCCACGGTTTATCAAAGAAGGTTTTACGGTGATTCATTCTGTGTTCATCTTTACGTTTAATCTTCCTTGTTAGATCGATTATTCATTGCTGTCACAGAAACAGGGACTAACAATTGGTATCAGAGCCGATCGAGAACGATCAGAAGAACTCCTGCAGAATACTCTGTTTTTGTTAACGTAGTTCATTCTGTCGATTTTTTGCTCTGTAATTTTGTTTCTTGTTCAAAAATTGTAAAAGTTACACCTTTGGAATCGCCTTTTCAAAGCGATCAAAGGGTATACTTCAGATTGTGTTTTACGCAAATTTAGATTTCGAGATATCTCGAGCAGGGGTTGTCGACATCTGCTTTTTCACAGGTTCTGCTACGTTTTTCGAGCTGAAAACTTTACACGAAGATCTCGACATTCAACTCTACAGGAAACTACCTTCAAATTTTGTTTATCTGATTTTTACAGGTTGCAGGATTTCGACATTGAGGATTTCGACATCTAGGATTTCGAGATCTTGATTTCGAGAAAAGGATTCGACATCTGGTCTCGACATTTGACTTATCAGATTAAGATTTCGAGAGATTAACTTCTCGACATTTCAAATCTCGAGATCAGCATCTCGAAATTTGAATTCTCGAGATCCCTAATCTCGAGATCCTTAATCTCGAGCCCAAATCTCGATACCGGGCCTCCTTTATCGAAATCTGAGATTTCGATATTCAGATCTCGACATCTGATTTTTCGACTTTCTGCCTCTGAAAATCTTTTGATCAATTTTCTCGAACGGTCAGTTCAGTACAGCAATGGGTTCAGAATACAATGCACAAGGGAACAACAGTACCCCTCCAAGCCTTAGGAAGGGTGAATATCAAATGTGGAGGAACAGATTTCTAAATTTCCTCGAGCACAAAGAGAACTCTGCTGAAATGCTCGAATCTTTGCTTGAAGGACCAGTTGAACTCTCAATTTCAGTTGGTGGAGATCCAGAAAACAATCCTCCTATTTTTCCAGAAATAAGGAGAAAAGTGTCGTCTGAATACACAGAAGCTGACAAGCTCAGACTTCGTGGTGACCTTATGGCCAAAACGTACCTCCTTCAAGCAATACCAAATGAAGTTTATGTTCTCATAGATAGCATGCAGACAGCTAAGGAAATGTGGGATGAAATAGAGAAGCTGCTACAAGGCACAAGCATCAGCCTCAAAACAAAGAAGACTACGATTCTCATCGCTTATGACTCCTTCAAAGCAGGTCCAGGAGAACCATTGAATGAGACTTACTACAGACTTGTTCAACTGGTAAATGAACTCAGAAAGATCAAAGTATTCAGGTTCAATCTGGAACTGAATATTAGATTTTTATCCAGCCTGCATCCTGCATGGGAAAAGACAGTGAAGGATGTCAGATCTCGGATAGATCTGGACGAAATTGACCTCTGCACACTCTATGAACATCTGAAGCAATTCGTCAACGAGGTTGCCTGTGCTGAGGATCATCACACCACAAACCCCTTAGCTCTTGTAATGGATGCTCAGCCAAGAAGGACAGACACTTCACTAAAGAAGAAAAAGAAGAAGGTAGTGGTTGAATCAGATGATGATGAGAGTGACGATGATCAAGGATCTTCTAGGAAGGCATCATCAGCAGAAGAAGCTCCTAAATGCTATAATTGCGGCAAGCCTGGACATGTGATCAAAGACTGCCGCCTCCCAAAGAAGAAAGATGCTAACTTCTACAAGCAGAAAATGCTGTGGAATAAGCAGAAAATGCTGATGGTGCAGAAAGAAGAAGAAACCTCTGCCATGATTGCTGAGAATGAGAACTGGGCAGAAGATTCTTCTGAGGAGGAGGAAGAGGAAGACAACTATGCCCTTATGGCACGTGTGGAGGGAGATGAAATAAAGGGTGATGCTGCGATCCCCGAAAACAAGTGGTCAACAAGCTCTGTAAGTACTTCACATACTTCTTTAAATAATCAAATGCAGTCCTTACTTGAAAAGGACAATCTAATCAAAGAACTAAAGGAGAGACTAGACAATAATCATAGAGTTCTGAAACAGAATCTAGACCAAAAGTCTTCCTTAAGTATTCAACTTGAAATTGCAAAAGATCAAGTCAAAAAGGTGTCCTCAGATTTTGAAAGCTTTGAACTTAAGATAGCTGAATTAACTAAGAAATTTGAGGACAGTGAACGGGAAAAAAGCACAGCAAAGGCTGAATGCGATTTTTTGCATAACAAAAGAAGAACGCTTTTAAATAAGGTAAAAGAACTAGAAGATCTAGCTGCTAGAAGAGGTCA